ATATATATATATAGTTTATATATATACTCTGTTTGTGTCTCTTCCATCTTGCCATTCCATACCATACCATATCTCCATTCGTTTCGTCTGCCCGGCCCGGCCTGGTTCTATTTCTCTTCATTCGCTTTGGCTTTTCTTATCCTCATTCGTTTCCTTGCCTACTCTATCCATCTTGCTCATTACTCGGTTTGCAAAGGCGTACAAGCATCGGCTGGATCATTCTTCATTTTTTTTTCTTCACACCACGTTGCTTTTTCCTCCTGTGTATTTCTTTAATACGTTCCATTACATCCATTCTATCGACTTTTTTATTTCCCTTTTATTATATTTCGTTGTTTCCTCGCCATCGTCTCGGGAGCAAAGCGAAACACCGCCTCACGAGCAACCCCGTCTCAGCCCCGTCTCCATCCCCGTTCCCGCTGCCATGCCCGCCTCCTCACATTTCGTTACAAGGCTAAAAAAAAAAATCATCGCTCCTTTCACTTTCTTTTTTTGTCTATCGGGGAAGGGGAAATTTTTCCAAAAAAAAAAAAAAAAGAACACGGCCATTATTCATCAATATCATACAACTACCGTCGAGGTCCTGAGACGAGGGTTTCAGGATAGGATTATTAGGATAACGGACACCTTGCAAGTAAAATGGGGGCTACTGAATCATTGAATTGTTGATCTATTTGATTGACGTCGTTCAATAGTAACTAACCAGCTCACAGCCCCGTGTATATATTTATTTCTCCAGTAAAAAAAGAAAAAAAAAAAAAAAAAAAACGAGAGATGGAAGGGCGGGAGAAAGAAAAAATGAATTCATGTGATCCTGATTCTGGTTCTGATTCTGGTCCGGCTCTGCATCCTGCGTGTCTTATATGCCTTCCAAGGTTGCTTCGTTATTTATTGATTTTATTTTCCAGGGGGGTAAAAATCCGATGGCCACCGGCGTGTACGAGGGTATCCATATCCATGGGCGGAAGGAGAACAACTATAGCATGTCCTGCCAGATAAAAAGTAGCGGTAAGGTCAGCATGACCGCATCATACGACCAACTGACAGGCCGGACCAAAGGCAGCCGTCAGTATAGCTAAAAGTAGCTGAAAAAAATAAAAATAAAATAAAAAATGCAATAAAGCAAGGTGAACACACAAATAATACATCAAGCGAGGAGAAAGCGAGGATGGCTCAAGAAAATACCCAAAACCAGCTGGCGCGCGCCCTTCCGTGTTCCTAAAGTAGTTCAAACCAGCCAGCATCATCCTGCCCAGTTATCTATCCAAAAGAAAAGAAGAGGGGAATAGTGTACTATTGTACTACTACTTTCAACAGCTAGGCTCTTTGCCCAAGTAGTGGTTGTCGAGCAGGATCTTGACTCTCAACATCTTCATCCTCACTATCGCTTTCCTTTGACCCATTGCTATTCCGGTAAAGGATGTAATGCTGAGCAATGAAGACAAAGTCGAAGAAGATGCTCACGTTACTTAAACCGAATTTCGCCGGGTTGCCTGTGATACCGCTCCAGTCGTTTTCAAGCGAGGAGTCAATGACCAGCTGTATCAGGGAGAGGATGCCGCCTATCAGATCAAGAAGGATCTGCCATATGCTCCATCCCACCGTTGACTTTAACCGGTAGTTCAAGTACACCTGGGGACAGTACTTGACTACCGTTGCAAGTAACTTGACATATGACATGGTATAGATCTGATGATGCAACCGTCAACCGTCAGCAAAGCATTTGCAGTTGCAGTTTGCAGCAGGGCACAGCAGGGCACATACACCATCTATCCAGGCCCAATCGGAAGCATCATTACCGCCCTTCGACCACGCCAGGAGGAAGACGCCGACTATGCACAGCACGCATCCTACTACCATCCCGGCCACAGGGGCGCTAACGTTCTGGTGCGCCGATGCTTTGAATCCCCATATCATCGGGTAGAATTGGGAATAAGTCAACACGCTCAGCAGGACTGCATGGAAGGCGAACGCAACGTCGTTGGCTCGCACGGTGGGCTCCGGCGCCTCTGGATGACGGACGGCATACTGGTGCCGTATGACGGGTGAGAAGTAAAAGGTCGACGTGTAGACGGCGTAGCAGATGAAGCCGAGCACGTTTGAGGTCGGGAACGAGATGGTCGAGCCCGAGGTGGAGCGACGTTGCCAGTTCTTGATCGGCTGCGGATAGAACGAGAGAGACCAGCAGAGCATGCTATGTAATTTTTTTTCGGCTTCTTTTAGCTATGTGATTCCAGGGCCAGCTTCGGGATGTCTGCCTGTGAGGCTGACGGCCGGTAGCGGTGGGGGAGGGGAGTAAGGGAAGGGCGAGCATACTATATCCATCCCAGAAGCCTGTGGAGTAGTTACATCGTTAGCTTAGTGGTTCCTTTGACTTGAAATATAGCTGCTTGCTATAGCTGAGTGGGCTTGTGAAGCGGTGATGCTGGCGGACGACGTTACCTGGAGACTGCACGCAGGAACCGCACGACCTGGGACGACATGGCGGGCAGGCGGCGAGCGGGCAAGAACAGGCCTACTGCCGTCTGTACTGAGGCGAAAGAGACGGAGGAAGAAGAGCTGTGTATTCCGCTGGCCTCAACCGGTGTCCATCCCGTCGCCTTCTTTTAAGGAGGATGGCCGTGTTTGTGTCTGTGGGAAGTGAGGCATGACCGGCGGACGGTCATTTGTCCTGGACGCCGGCTAAGCTTTTCACTACGACGAGCTGGCTACTTGACTATATAAGTACTACTTTGTTAATAATAATAACTAGTTGATGGCTATATGATAGCTGGGATGGGACTGTATGTATTGCGGTCATGTAGATGTCTGGCTATACTCCGTACAGGCCGCTGCTTCGCTGCTTCGCTGCCCAACTGCCTCCCCGGCAGACATAACTAATAGCAAGCAGCTCGTAACTCACAAGTAGCTCGCTGCTTGACCGATACGTACTTGTAGCTGCCTGGCTGCCTAGCGCCTGCAGCCTTTTGCTTACATGAAGCCGGAAGCCGAAGAAGCGAAAGGCGAGTCATTCGGCCAGAGGAAATTTCCCGGCGGTTCCATCACCCGCGACTCCACGACCAGAGGCCAGCTGGGGGATCCTGTACAGGTTGTAACAGTCATAGTTCCAAAAGGGAGCGTCCATTAGCTAGCGAGATAGCTATATTAACTAACCAGTCCGCCGTGAGTGCCGCCAACATGGCGTCTGACGACCTGGTGCCCGAGACAAAAGTGTTGGCGATTGCGAGTCATGTACGTTGTTGGTTGCCCCCAAAGGCCGCGGTTAATTTGGCGACGGGCCAATGGTGATATCAACCCTGTGCTAACCCTGGCTATGTTGGCTGTCTGAAGGTAGTTTATGGGTACGAAGAAGCCCTCTGCTTGTCCTGGTACTCCCTGCTTTGACAAGGCCATGTCCTACCTTCCACAAGATACCCCCCTCCCCCCGAGCTGGCCCCGGAAATGCACATGAACACCCTTCAATCTGTCTGTCTACATGACTAAATCAGACTGCTCTGACACAGATATGTCGGCAATACAATGGCCACGCTTGCCATGCAGTCCTTGGGCTGCGAAGTGGCTGCCTTGAACACGGTTCATTTCAGTGAGGGGCTCTCCGTCCTGCGGTGCATGTCGAGGAAGACAGGCAAGTAGATACTAACCATGCATAGGCAACCATACTGGATATAGACAGTTTAGAGGGACAAAGTCGTCGGCCCAAGAAATAACCAACCTATACGAAGGGCTACGGCAGAGCTACCTTACTGACTTTGACGTTTTGCTGACTGGATATGCACCCAGCGCAACCGCAGTGGAAGCAGTCGGGGCTATTGCCATGGACCTGAAGAAGAAGGCATCTAAGCAGCCAGGCTCATTTTTCTGGGGTGAGTCGGTGACGATGTGTACGTGCTAAAGTCATGGCCCCTTCTAACAGATGAGAATTAGTGCTTGATCCTGTCATGGGAGACCAGGGACGTATATACGTTAACGAGGATGTGGTGCCAGCGTATAAAGCCCTCGTTCCCCATGCAGACTTGATCTTACCAAACCAGTTCGAAGCAGAGTAAGTCAAGCTGTCCCTTGATCAAATCCACAACCACACACCAAGATTAACAGAATAAAACAAGGTTACTCTCTGGAATAAAAATTACTTCAGCGGAAAACCTGGTGGATGCAGTGACCGTGATCCACCGGACATATAACGTGCCTCATGTCATTGTTACTTCGGTGCAGCTACCTGGGCCGCCATCCTCATCGGCATCATCGGTCATCTCCCTCTCAACAGCAGATAATTCATCCGTCAGCCAAGATGCCCGTCCCGACAACATGCTGGCAGTCTTCGGTTCTACCATGCGATCTGACCGCTCTGCTCGGTTATTTAAAGTCGAAGTACCTCGCCTTGATTGCTTCTTCAGTGGGACGGGCGACATGTTCGGTGCCTTGATGGTTGGAAGACTCCGTGAAGCCGTGTTTAATGATTCACCTGCCCTTCGTGAAACAGCTTCCTGGGTATCTCCAGACAATGTTGCAATGACAGATCTGCCGCTTGCCAAGGCCACTGAGAAGGTTCTGGCAAGCATGCACACGGTTCTGGAGAAGACGATGATTGCTAGGAACGAAGAGCTAGCGAGATATCAGAACGAAGATGAGAATAATGACGCCGAGTTTGCTCACCTCCCAGAGGAAGAACGCAAGGCCGCGCTTGAGAAGAGGGCCCGGCTTCGTGCATCGAAGGCAGCGGAGATTAGGCTGGTGCGCAACGTCGAACATGTAAGACACCCTGTTGTGAAATTCAAGGTGAGGGAGTGGAACCAGTGATCGTCTTCAGCCTGTATATTGCCATTGATGTTGCTTTCTAGCAGCAGGGGTCTCTTATTCTGCCATCTGCGCATAAACATATATACCGGACATTAGAATAGAAACCGAAAATCATAGTTATCTAGAGTTTCAAGTCGTTGAAAAGCTGCTTTTTTAACCTGTGCTTCCGAACCCGCCGGCACCACGTACGCTTTCCTCCAATTGTTCAACTACAAGAACTTCAGGTGTGTAAATCTGTAAGCCGTGTGTTAGCCACTGACTGAGCTGCCAATGCCAGGTTAACTGTTCGATAAACTTACTCTCTCCAGGATGAGCTGGGCAATTCGATCGCCTTCCTTGACTTTATATTATTGCACCACGTTAGCATCATCCCTTCAAGCGGAGAATACCCTATGAATACGACGTACTGGTAAAGTTGACACCGGAGAAATTGAATAGTAACACCTTGACTTCTCCGCGATAATCAGCGTCGATAACACCGGCTCCAGTGTCAATGAAGTTCTTCGACGCAAGCCCGCTGCGGGGCGCTATTCTTCCATCTACCACCATGTCAGCTAGCCTGAAAAGATATATAGACCGAATTTCTTCAGCTAAGCCACTTACAAGTTCCCTCTGGAACAGCAATTGCAAGTCCAGTCGAAACTAACCCCTTGCCTCTGCCGGGAATCACCGTCTCCTTTGCAGCATACAAGTCGTATCCGGCAGCAAAGGCAGAGCCTCGGGTAGGCGCGCGGGCTTCCGGCACCAGCTTCTTGACCTGCAGCTGGCAGGTAGGAGCAGCAGCAGCAACAGCAACAGCGGGTGCAGTTTCGGAAGTCTCTGGAACCGCCATGGCTTCAGTCTTGGGGCGTTTGGCGAGAGGCGAGTTCGGTTGAGAAGGGGCGGTGTGAGCGAGAGCCTTGACACCCGGGGCAGCAGCAGCAGCAGCAGCAGCAGGGGGAGGTGTGACTTCTTTGGAGTTTGTCATTATACGTTGAGCAGGCTACTCTGTCAATTCATCAAGTCCGCAACCGCGTTGTTCAGCTTATCTGGAGGTCAAAAAAGCACTTTATCTTCGTCTTTTATGGCGGTGGCCGTGTGTTTGCTGGTACGCGTCCGTCACGTGAGGTAAGCTTCCGGCGTCCGCGCCCAAACAATATCCTGATATAACATGCCATACTTAGTAGTAATACGTCTCCTGGGGTCTGCACCGCACGAACATCTAGGTAGTACATGTCTTGGTGATCTGGGTACGGAGGTATTGCATGTCTGCTCAGGTTAACGCTACGGAGCAGATTTCTACGATAGGCAAGCCCTCAAAAGGTCTGTTGCACCATTTTCCAGCACGCAAGCACCGTTACGCAGCTGTTGTGCCGGGTTATTATCGGATACAGCCAGATGCACCCGAGAAACAGCCGGTATTGGCCACTCGGACGCAGCCCTGAGAAGCCTCCGACTGATGTGCAGCCCTTTTCCCAAGGGTCGAGATTTCGGGTCGAACGACCTAAGGGCGGCAGTGCCTGGAGCATATTTAAGCCGCTTATGTCATAGTTTGTGCCAAGACTTTAACCGCAGCGAGCCTAAGCAGACGTCAAGCGAAATCAGGGAAACAACCCTGTCAGGGGAACAGATAGAGTGTTCAATAATAGCAAGTAGTAGTAAGTATGTCAGACTTCGGACGTTGTCTTGGGGCCGTTCTTTCTTTGGGCCAGCGCCGGAATTTCCACCATGGGGCCAAGATAATTACGTTGGGTATCATTTCCATAGCAATAAAACATACAGAAAGCGGATACCATGGCTAGTTAATTTGCTCAATCTTTAATCGTAGTCTAAGCTGAAAAAATCAACCTTTGTCCATGATGTTGTAGCAATAAAGATATCGAGTTCCTTTCTGCTCTCTTGTTATTTCTGCCCTTTAAAACGCTCTCATCTCGAGTGAACACGAGACTTTCCAATTCGGGCCAAAGAGGGACTCCACTCCATGAGACGAATTAGGCTTTCGGATAAATAAAGATCCCCATATCACGTGCACATACAGCCTCAATGTTGACAGACTTCCGCTTTGGGAAAGGTCGTGGTTCCACCCTTCGCAGATGAAAGTTTCTCTATTAAAGGAGGTTGAAAGCGTTGTTGCAGACGAGGAAGAAGTGTCTTTGGACAGCACCGAGCACCCAGCACCGAGTACCGAGCGCGAGGATGGACACTCTTAATCTGCAGTCTGCTTCCGAATATCTCAATAACCTGCTTCTCGCCCGGGGACTCCTGCGGAATGGGAGACGGATCGACTTTGCAGACCCGGGGAACGCTGCGGATGGCGCTGAAGACACGATGGCACAAATTATTAACTTGATCCACGATCTAGTGACTCGGAGAGACGTGAGTGCTACTGCTTCCCCCATTCCTACAGGCTATGATACTGCAACAGTTGCACTGACATTTCCCATCTGCCAGCGTGAAGCAGAACAACGGGAAAGTCTTGCCACCACTGTGAAAAATCTCCGAAAGACAGAAGCAAAACAGGCACTTCAGGTGGTAAGTTTTGGTCGTCCACGATTCCATTGCCAGTGGGGTGATTTGATAGACCCTAAACTGACGGTGTTATCAATGGGTATAGGAACAACTGGAGGGCAAAACGAAAGAACTGTCTCGCTCGATTGCTCTGGCAGAAGGGCAAGAAACAGCATTTAAATCCACAATACGCAATGCAGATATTACTATACGTGGCCTAAAAGATCAGATGCAGCGGATGAAGTCCTCGATTCAGCAGATAAGAACCCAGTGCGCTACAGACATCCGCAAACGAGATATTGAATTGCAGAGACTAAAAACACACCTGACCGAGCGACAGCGTGGAAAGAGAGATGGATACGGTGTAATGACTATCACGATACAGCCTCCACCGAAGACGAACACTTCCAGCCGAAAGGTGGCCCAGGGGGGAAACACTGTGGATATACCGGGCCACAGCCTCAAGCAAGAAACAACAGAGTATTTGACACAGCTGTGCCAGAGTTTGAGTGATGAAAACGATGCGTTGATACAGCTTTCTCGGGATACAATTCAGACGTTAAGAGAGCTGCAAGGACTGGAAGATGGAGATGTGGAGGGGGTTGCTGAGGGCGCTGCAGGGAAAGAAGAAGGTGTAGATGCCGCTCTATCCCGGCATGAACTGCTATCAAGGGAAATGGATGCTACTCTCAACCAGCTGCGAGCCCTACTTACAAATCCATCCTTTGTTCCTCTGGAAGAAGTGGAACTCCGGGACTCTGAGATTGCTCGACTGCGGGATGGGTGGGAGAAGATGGAGCAGCGATGGCAGGAGGCAGTTTCCATGATGGACGGGTGGCATAAGCGAGTATCTCACGGGAGCGGGTCGATCAGTCTGGACGACCTGAGACTGGGAATGTCCTTCACGACAGACTCGAGCATGCAGAAGGACGCGGGCAGCACGCTGAATTTATCCGTGGATCAGTCGGAATCGGGCAATTCGGCTGTGTCGAGCAGACGGATATCCAACGACTCCTCGACCCGGGAGAGGCCGAAGAGGCTGTTCGACATCGAGCCGTCAGGAGTCGCCAAAGACCATGCACCGGCAGGCAAGACCGCTGGGGGTGAGAAGGTGGCCGCGCAGAGATCAGACGCAACTGATGTACGCCAGAAGAGACGGAAGCTGCAGCGAAACCGGCCGGCCTGAGGGCGCCCCCAGCGCTGCCGCATCAGACCAAACCAACCTACTTAGACTAGAGATCTAATGCCATATTTTCGTCGTCTTCGTCGTCTCCATCGTCTCCATCGTCTCCGTATGCTCTGATGTTAGAGGTTTATGCCAACCGCCGCTTAGTCAGCTCAACATGCATCCCAAACTCCACCACAAAAACCTCGTTTTCTTCCATCCTCAAAACCTCAAACCTCGCTCGCTCGCAGAATCCGACCTGATCGAAACCTCGTTTCCCCTTCTCTCCCTCTCGCATCCTCCCCTCGCGCGCTTTCCGGTCCTTTATGCTTCGACTCATGCCTTAGTTCAGACGTTTGCTGGTTTAGCCGCTGTGTTTGATACACCGCTGTTGCCCCCGTGTCCAGATTCGAGCCTTGATTGCCGCCCAGCCTCAAAAGACCCTATCCTCGACGGGTTGCGAGTTTTTTTGCGTTACTTCATATTAATACATTTATACTGCTTGCCAAACCGCCGTGCAGCCCACTGGCCTGGTCTGCCTCCGACCTTTCGTCCCCCCCAAAAAAAAAAAAAATACTCCTTCCATCAAACCAGCTGTCCGGATTCTGGCTGAATATTCGGATCCCTGTCCCTTAATCATATCCGTCGCTTGGGCATTGCCCCCCGACGCTCTTCTGGGGGTTATTCATCTACCTGCCTTCGAAAATACGTGGCTGACTCTCCCTTTGCAAACTCAGCTGGCGCTGCAGGAGCTTTGCTTTACTCACCAACCCAAAAAAAATTTAATACACTCCTCTCCGTTCTCCAGCCGGGCCGTGAAACCTCCCTCCATATCCCCGAGAACAGCCATGGCAAGCCACATTATTGGAAACCGAAACAGCACCCCTGAGGCTTCGAAGTCGTCCCTTCGCCCTCCGTCTTCATCCCGTACCCTAGGGGGTTCTCATCAACTTCGCGCCTCTGCCGATATGTCCGGCTTCGCCCCGCCGTTGTCTGCTCGCAATATTCGCCCCGCCTCGGAAGTGTACTTCAACCAACAGTCACAGGGTCAGAATAACGCGGACGATGCACTCGATCGGGCCGCGCAGCAGTGGCTGGCGGACATCGATCAGTATGAGACGACTCTGGAAGAAATGGCTGCCGCCACTTTGGACCAAGACTTCAAGGACGAGCTTAGCGCTATCGAGCAGTGGTTTCGTGTGTTGAGTGAAGCGGAGAGAACCGCCGCTCTCTACGCTCTGCTCCAACAGACCACAAATAATTTGACTTACTGCCTTGGGTGATTAGTATTTATAAATTATGAATGCAGGTGATGTCTAGTGTGCTGTCCCCAGCAACCTTTGGGGAAAAGGGTATGTCTACTTTCCTAAAACTATGAGCTCCTCTAGCTCTCGGATTTAGGTCCACGCTAACACGGAAACCGTACAGACGCCATGTCCAACCGTCTAAGTGATGCCATGTCGAAGCTAAACGTAGAAGGGTCTCGCAACTCTTTGGTTCGCCCGCCACCTTCCCCTAGCAATAAGCGCAACTCAGGACTTGACACCTCGACTATCAACGCCATGTTCCCTGATGCAGCAGCCGCTATTGCTAAGAAGAAAGCTGAACTCACTCAACAAACCGGAAATGCTCCTGTGTCGAACCGTAACAGTGCAGTATTTAGTGGAGACAGGTCTTCACTCGTTGCTCCTACCATTTCTACTACAGATGTTGGCAAGGATAACTTGCCTCAGCCCCCTGCTTCTCCTTGGACTCACCGAGCACCAGAACAACAGGCCCCTATTGCACGGCCCAAATCGTCGTCTGGTCAGCAACAGCAGCAACAGCAACAACAACAGCAGCAGCAGCAGCAGCAGCAGCAACCGATGGGCCACTTTTCTCAGCCACTTCAGTCTGCTGGCCTTCGTTCTCCGCTTTCGTCAGGTCCTTCTAATATCCAAAGCACCACCATCACTGCTCCAGATCTTATGCCAGAGCCTCCAATTCTTTCTCCATACAATGTGGGAAACGCAAGTTGGGCTTCCATGACAAATACCCCCATGGTTTCGTCTTTCAACCAGCAAAGCCAGCCAAACCAGGCTGATATGATTGCCAACGCCACTGCTATGAAACTTGCTGCTTTGTCAACTGTCAATAATCGCATTGCCTTGGATGATGCACGCAAATACCGCCGCACCCGTTCTAATGACAACCAGAACCGTATGCACAACCAGCCCCCTGTATCCCCTGGCCTCCCAAACACCATTCCCGGAACCAATGTCATAATGGTGAATGACTCCGGCCAAATCCTGAACCCCCAGCAGGTTGCTGCTCTGCAGGCTCAACAGCAAGCTGCCATCAGCGGGCGCCGTTCTCGCCCTAATTCTCCCGGACTGGCCCTCCAGGGAACGCCAATACAGATGAACTTTACTTCTCCTCAGAACAATGGGTTCCTTGCTGCATATGACGCTAACGCCTACCTGGGTAACACTCTTGGTGGAATGGGTGTCGGTCAATTCAGTGGCGCTGGCAGTCACGAAGGATACCTGTCTGATCATTCTGAAATCCCCCGTGGTCGTTCTCCACGCGGTCGACGTGGAAGCTCCAAGCCACCAGAAGACCCAACCGACCCAGCTCTCCTTCAAGACATACCTGGCTGGCTTCGATCTCTTCGCTTACACAAGTATACCGACAACCTCAAGGATCTTAAGTGGACCGAGCTGGTGGAGTTGGACGACAAAGGCTTGGAGGCCCGTGGCGTGAATGCTCTTGGTGCCAGAAACAAGATGTTAAAGGTAGCTATCCGAGCTACCCTATCCGCCCTTCATCCGTGTTTTATGCTAACTATTGTTTTGTTACAGGTTTTTGAGCAAGTCAAGGAGGCCAAGTCGGAGGGAAAGCTCGACAACATCCTCTGAGCCCACCACACTAGGTTGGAGATGTAGCACTATGTCTGATATAAAAAAAGAGAAATGGTTTGTTCCCATTCGGTGATGCCGCAACGAATTTTTATACTCTCTTTTGTCTCGCGATATCTACCTGATTTCACCACGTCTATAATCTGACAAGAGCATGACCGGTACGATTGTGAAAGCTCTTGCGTTATATCATCTTTTGGTGTCTGAATTCCCCCTCCCCCTTTTTAATTATTTTTACACACCTTTCGTTCTTTTCGACTTGGGAAATTGTTCCTATAGCTCCTTATCCGCATGGATAGCAGATGGATATAAGCAGAGTCTACTACCACTGATACAATATCAAGACTGACTCGAGTATAACGTCACTCATAACATCTCGGCTGCGCTTTGCCAATAGTCCCAGGCAACAGTTAGGCGGATCATGTAGGCTACCTACGACCATTTTCATTCCTTATATAGATGCATTCATATAATCCTCTTCTATGCCTTCATCTATCCCGTCGCCGTATCCTCCGAATCTCATCCTCCTTGCTGACCATCAGCTTGCAGCCATTGGTCAACCCGCCCATCGCCAGCCAAGCCTATGACATAATTTCCGCTGTTTACACGGCCCTCCAGCATCGCTGCTCGCAGTGCGAGGATGGCGGTTTAAGTCGAGTTGGAGGCCGAAGAAGCCGTCTTCTAGGAGCTACAGATGATCTAGCAAGGTAAATATATCGCATGGTGGACGAGTCGCCGTAAAAAGGGGCGGAAGACTGCAGGTGTGTGTCTGTCTCTGGCTGCGCAGAGGAAGGGCTCCCCTTGTACCATATAAAAAGCATGCCGCATCCTCCATCCCCTCATCTTCTTCTTCGTCGAGTCTTCATCTGGCCCAGGATCCGAACTACCAGGCAGACTGCAACTCTCAGCCGGCCCAGGCCTCTTATCCCGTTGGACAAGCGTATATCTTCAAGACAATTCTCAGACCGAGCTCACTGGCGAGCTTGCTACCTGTCAAGTTCCGTATTCTCCCCCGCATTTCTTTACAGCTTGTCTTCCCAGGAGAACAATCCCAGACCCTTATTTAGGGAGTGAAGTATTAACATTGAAGATATTGTAGATCGGACCTTCAGCACAGCTATCCCTGCACGGTTTCCAACCTCAGCAGCCTCTACCAACATGCCCGAATACAAACTTATCGGCTCCTCGCCCAGCGAGATCAAAAATGGAGACAAGGTTGAGGTACAAGTCGAGGGACTCGAGGGAGTTAAGCTTCTCCTCGTGAAACTTGATGACAAAGTCCATGCTATGACCGCTAGATGTACACATTACGGAGCACCCCTGGTCAAGGGTGTGCTCTCTCCTGATGCAAGAATAACCTGTCCGTGGCATGGAGGTACGTTGACTCTTTCATTTGGTTGAAACTACTCTACCTCGTGAAAAAAGAGCTGTGCTGATAGGTACTTAGCCTGTTTCAATGTGATCAGTGGAGATGTTGAAGATGCTCCCGCACCCAACGCATTGAACAAGTATGACATTTCTGAAAAGAACGGAGCGTTTTATGTCCACACGGATGAAGCATCCCTCAAAGCATGGGGTAGAGAGCCGGTGAAGACCTGCAAAGTTTCTGGAAATGACAACGTCGTTGTAGTTGGAGGGTATGCATACACCAACATTTCTCTAGGGGATGATATATGTCACTAACACTGGACTTCTATAGCGGGAGCGGAGCATTCGGTACCATCGAATCCCTCAGAGAGCTTGGATATAGTGGAAACATCACCATGATATCAAAAGAGCCTAATCTCCCACTTGACAGGACAAAGTTCTCCAAAGCATTGATAGCGGATCCTTCAAAGATCGAGCTCAGATCCAAGGATTGGTACTCGAACGTCTCTGTAAACACAGTCTCCGATGAAGTGACCTCTGTCGACTTCGAGAAGAAGTCCGTGGCCACAAAGTCTGGAAAATCTTACCCATACACCAAACTTGTTCTGGCCACAGGAGGAACGCCTAGAATGCTGCCACTTCCAGGGTTTAAAGAGTTGGGCAATGTTTTTACTCTCCGATATGTAACTGATGCCCAGGCTATCCTGGCCGCAGTGGGAGAGAAGGGTAAGAATATTGTCGTCATCGGAAGCTCTTTCATCGGTATGGAAGTAGGCAATGCATTGGCGAAAGAGAATAAGGTTACCATCGTTGGGATGGAATCTGCACCTCTAGAGCGTGTGATGGGAGTAGAGGTCGGCCGCATCTTCCAACGTAATCTAGAGAAATCAGGCGTGAAGTTCTACTTGTCCGCATCTGTGGAGAAAGCTACCCCTTGTTCTGCAGATTCAACCAAGGTTGGTGCAGTGCATTTGAAAGATGGAACAGAATTGCCGGCTGATCTGGTCATTCTCGGTGTTGGTGTTGCTCCTGCAACTGAATATATCAAAGAGAACCCAGCTGTGAAACTTGAAGGAGACGGCTCTCTCAAGACTGATGAGTCCTTTGCTGTCCAGGGCCTAAAGGACGTCTACGCTATTGGAGATATTGCCAAATACCCTTACCACGGCCCTGGAGGGCAGGATGGTAAATTCCACGTTCGTATCGAACATTGGAACGTGGCCCAGAACTCCGGCCGTAGTGTTGGGCGCACAATCGCACACTTGTCAACGTCCAGCCATCCTATTAAGCCAAAGCCGTTCATTCCAATTTTCTGGTCGGCATTGGGTGCTCAGCTCCGGTATTGTGGTAACACAGTGGACGGATACGATGATATCGTCATGAAAGGCGAGCCTGAGAATGCGAAGTTTGCTGCTTTCTACACATCTAGTGACACAGTGGTGGCAGTTGCTACTATGGGAATGGATCCTATTATCTCGAAGAGCGCTGAGCTCATGAGGAGGGGAAATATGCCCGGGAAGAAGGAATTGGTAGCTGGAACTGATGTGTTGACTGTTGATCTTCCTGGGAAGGTTACCATGTAGAGAGACGTTGTCACTTTGCAGTCATCGAGAGTCGAGGTTAATAATTAGTTGTCTTTCAGTCTGTACAACTTACCTATGGCTCTTATTACAGGCCAACTACATGATATAGATTCAGGTATTGCATACTGAATTTGCTATAACGTTGGCATCATTAACATAAACACACACACGTGAAATGAAATAATCTCCCATTCCTCCATTAGTTACGCCATACCCTTGCCGTTGTATGCAAATGCTCCATGAATCAAACCGTACTCCTTTTAATCACTAATCTCGGCCGTCGACCACCTCTTTGACTCCCTTGTGATGCTGAACTTCGGGCTTTACCCTTACCCTTAGGTTTAGGCTTTGGCTTCGCCGCTGTCTTTGGTTTCCGTTTAGTTACCCACCCAGGCCCATGGAAAAGAGATGAATCTTCCTCAAAGCCATCATTGCCTTCATCGACGTAATCTTCATCACCACCTGCCACAGGATCACTTGATAATGTCAAGTCTACCACTATAGAACCATCTGGTATCTGGGACGCAGAAGGCTCATTGTTCTCTGCAGTGTCCTGCCCACCCTGCAACGATAATTCGTCTTCCTGTGACGGGGGTGAAGTTGATTTTGCAGCCGGGTCCTGCGTGCTTAAGGACGTATTGGCTTTTGGTAAAGACGAGGACGGCCCAGCAGGCTTGTGGGCAGCTGGCGGTGGCTTTAATGAAACTGGCGGGCACGGAGTAGCTTCTGCAAGCAGTTCTTCCAATGACGGGGTTGGATCATTCTCAGAGAGATTGTCTATCTCATAAAATGGATTGGGTACGAGTGAGTTTGGGTTGCTATCACCACTGTCATCCTCATCGTCATCAGTTTCATCCGGATCGTTCGGCAGCTCTCGACTCTTCCCCTTCTCATTTCCGTTGGTGGAGCCTTGCGCAGATATCCAATCCTCTAGAGCCGGTGAAGGTGACGGTTTTGCCGTTTCTGAAGGAGTTGGAGATTTACGTGGTCCTGGTTCCGCCGGAGTTTCTTCTGTTGCTCCTTTTGGAGGCGAGTCATGATCAAAGCCAGTGAATTTAGGTGATTCGACAACAGGGCTATCTTCACGCGGCCCTGCTGCGTCGTGCTTCTCGGCATCTCGAGGAAGGGCAACGCTTCCTTGCACAATAGTTTGGTCCTCGGCACTTTGTTCGCAAACAGTCCCCTCACTGTCATCCTGCCGCTTATCTTCTAAATCGAGACAACTGTCTTCCACGACTTCTACTTTGTCAGGGGTAGCCAACTCTGAATTCGCCGAAGACCTAAACCCAGCGTCTCTAATGAGCTGTGATATTTCCCGGCGGCTAGGAGAAGAAACTTGGATATCCTCTGGCTGTGAAGAGTTAAGGGTTGGCGCATTCTCAGTACTGCATGAAAATAGTAAGTAAATATATTACACGGTACAAGGGGTTATAACATTACACCAACATGCGAACATTTTGCGTCTCTGCCACCTCACTGGCGAGATTTATCGATTCATCTGCCAGATTCTCCAGCACTTGCTCCTCTTGAAGTCTCACTAATTCCTCTTCTATATCTGCAAGTTGCTCTTGTAATTCACTTGCCGATGCATGCGGAGGAGCACTGATGAGTTTTGCGTCAATGAGGTTTTGGATCTCAAGTTCCCGCAGCCCATTGTCTTCTTCCTCGATGTCATCGAAACCAGGCATTTCGAACTTTGTATAACTTCGTGGTTGACCGTCATTGGCACCGTCGCTTTCTACTACATCTCGATCGCGCTTGGCAAGACGGAAAGTGATTGTATTGGTAGAGTTCACGTTTTCCACAATTGCAGTGCGGTAGGAAGACACTTGGGGCTGCCAATTCGTAGCCTTGGAAACGTCTAGCTGTTTAAATACAAAAATCGCACCTGGCCATAGATTGGTCTTATCCGCATTGGGCAGTGTTGACATATCTTTAGGTAGAGGAGGCAGGTCTCCAGCTCTACACTCCATGAGGCCTTGATTTTCGGGGCTAGACGTTCTCTTATCACTCTGAGGCTTCGCCTTTGGTTGTGTCTCTGCAACGAGGAATACATCCATGCTTGGGCCACCGGTCTCGTCCCCGTAGTCAAGGGTAATATCTTCGTTTGAGTGATTCTCGTTGTGGCCAAATTCTTCCAGGTATCCCTTCTCGTTCTCACCGTTGGATTGGGATTGCCGTTTCCGTTTGTTCTTTTTCTTTTTCTTGCCTTGGGGAGCCTGGCTTGCGCGTAGCTCCTGAATGACAGCTTGGGCGTTGGAATCCCATCTCTGCACGAAGGGGAATGGAGGTGTAGATAATGCAACCCCATCATAGAAGCATTCGGTGGCCTTGAGTGTAATCTTGGCTTGCCAATTCTGAATTGGCTGAAGTACTTTTGAAGTCTCAAGTGTAACACACTCAGACTCCTTTGGTGTAGCTTTTGGGGTCAGGCTAGTCTTCTGTGAAAGTTTAGCCCGAGTTTGCTCTTCATCTTCCTTCGTTTTTGGTGTCTTAACACCTAAGGGTCCAAATAAAAGACGTCGCGTGCTGTCAATATCTAACTTAGACTGCCTGGCAGAACCGGCGGCATCCGGAGCGGGAGAAGCTTTATCCTTGGCTGGTGTAGAGGTGGCAAGACAATCTACCTCGACAGATGATAGGGTCTCCTTATGTTTCCTTCTCTTCTCTGAGGGGGACGGTACTTCAATCCCACCCTCATCTATATCACGTAGTAGCTGCTCTCTCTTTCTTTCAAATTCTGATTGTTCTTTAGCTTCAAGCAAGGCATTTACAGCCTCAGAGCCTCCTTGTCCGTTCTCCCAGGCCCGCATGTCTTCGAAATTAGCATCTTTGTCCAGGATACCAGCAATCTTCAGTCGGATCAATCTCCTGCGCCACTTTGTTCTCAAATTGCCATGTTTGGTGCGTAAAGTGCCATGGCCTGGGGGGTTGACTTTTCCTTTTGCAACATTATGCTTCTGCTTGGAAGATTCCGCTTCGGGTAGTGTGTCTTTATTTTTAGAAGTGGATAATTTTGGGGTGGAACTAAGACCAGAAGATGAATCCGAATCTGAATCGGAGCTCGAGCTACTTGACGAACTGGAACTAGAAGTTGTGTCTGAGCTTGACTCCGAATTTGAATCGGATTCCGATTCAGAACTAGAATCAGAGTCTGACTCCGAATCTGAACTGTCATCACTAGACTCATCTTCACTAGAGCTCATAGTCTCGTCTTCCGAGGAATCTTTACTTGATGAATCTTCTGATTGATTTTCTTCTTCGTGGTCCTGTAACTGAGCTTTCTCCAAGGCGATATGTGTTTTTTTATGTCGTTTAACGGTGGGAGGAGTGGTTAATACGCTCTCCTCTACCGCAGGTGCCTGCGAAGGGACAGGTACACCACCAGTGGCAGAAGTTGGGTCTTCTTCTCCTTCAACTACAGCATTCAAATCCTGCGTCTCCTCAATGACCGCATTATCTTGCGCCATAGCACGCTCTTTCTCCTCCGGCTTCTCGGCGTCATTTTTTCGAGGATTAACATCTTCAATAACCACAGTCGATTCATTGAGAAGAGAAGGAGGCTCTATCACTCCACCGTGACTCCGATCTGGGTCTTCCAGTCGTCGTCTCTTATTTCTGGGGGGTATTGTTATAGAAGGCCGAGATACGGTTGTTCGTTTTAGCCCCTGGCGTGATTTTCCAAAGGGAACACCATCAATTAGATACGTCCCGTCATCGATCACTTGCCATCTTCCAGTCGCTACTCTGGCAGATATATCTTCATGATCTAAGGGACGAATCCTAAACATCAAGGATTAGTACAAGGTAAAATACTAGGCTTTCAGGACAGCACTTACACAACTTCATCACCCTCTCTAAGCAGGGTATCAACACGCATGAAATGCAGACATTCGGAGCCCATGACCTCCACAACATAGTCATGTAAATGCCACTGTCCGCCATTATCATCTTCCGCATCTTCAGTGCTCGTGGGGCTTCCCAGCGGCACGACCTCATTTACATCTGCCAGCAACTGAGAGATGATATAATTAGAGTCTCCGCCGGCAGCAGTTGGGGCACAGGCTGACGTATACGCAGTATTGAAACTTCCACTGGCGCTCAGCGTACGTATGGAGGCAGGGCCGGAGCTGGTGAATGATGACAAAGCAGACGGTTGGCGGGACAGCGATAAGCTGGGACTTTGCGTTATGGGCGTACTCCATAGAAGACGCGTGACAGGCAACTCATGCCGATGAACGATGAGATGAAGACGCATTGTTACTGCCGTGTAATGTATCGATGCTGCTGATTAATGGTTCAACGGTCAGTCCGCAACGGTTTCGCGCGCCCCTTCGACTGAGGCGAGTGCGCATCTGTGGCAGTGACGACAACGGCCACGCCAGGAATTATCCTCTCGTTTCGCGTAGCAATAGAAGATTTTATCTTCCGCACGGCGTCTCTTAATAAAAAGCGGAGTCCGTCAAAAAACAATAGAGGGAGAGAGAAGAGGGAAAAGAAGCTTGTAGTTGAAAAGTCGAGGAGCTTTAGCACGATAGTTAGTTTAAGGTTTGGGGTGACGCGGGAGCTTGGCGTAATTAGCTAGTTAGCTAACTAGTTAACAAAGTCCCGAGGTCATTTTGCTGGTCAGGCCAAGTTACTTAGGGGGTGCCTATCAAAACTGACAGTCTAGACCGTGAATGGTTCAGCGGAGGCAGGAGATGAAGAGAACGACGTGTTCCATAATATAAATTCGATCATTCAGTAGGCATATATATCTCCATTAGTTTTCTTATGGAAGGTAGAGAGAGGGTCATAGTTCTGTCTGCTCTTCCGAATACCAAACAGTTATTTAATAATGGTAGCAGTTAGCCACATAGAAATCATCATGGAGTTAAGTCCTGCTTCCTTTAGTACCGTCATAGAAATGAAATGCGCCCCCCCCCCCCCCCCCCGCTCATGAAAACAGTGATAATTTTGAAGTCGAATCAAGATACCACGGCCATAACTCCATTAACTAACCACCCGCCCAGCGCTTGGTTGAGGCAAATGAAAGAAAATCATCTTAAGTATGTAGTTCAAGGCAATGAATTCGTCTTCTTCGGTGTAGGAACAGGTTTTCTAGGAGGTATACCTAGATTTGGCATGATTGGCGTTACCCGTCTCGACTGTTGAGGCGGTCTGTCTATTGGAAGTGATACTGTTGATGAGGATGTCATTGAAGGCAAATCTGTTGTTGATGTGATTGGTGACTCTGATATGCCGTCCAGTTGGCCTGTGGTCTGATAGTGTTGAAACTCACGCATCTGCTTCTGCATTCGGCTGCTATTTTCTGGGCCATTAGTTTCGGTCGTGGAGGTAGGAGTAGATGGATGGTTAACATCTCTCTCGACTGTCACAGGCGGGATACTAGTGAACTCGAACGTCGGTGAGCGTGATCCAGCTTCGCTGGGAAATAATCGTTCGTCACTTTTTGAATCTATATCGTAGCCACCGGAACCGGAGGGGCCGAAGCTGTTACTCCTAGGGTTACCTGGGGGCGCTGAAGATTGAGCATCAGTTGAGGTCCATGATGAAGAGCGTTGTGATGCGGCAAGTGGGTTATACTCGTGCCTCGGGCCATCTACTGGCGCAAGAGCATCCGCCATCGCATCTTCGTAGCTGGGTGGGGGTGCTTCTTCGTAGTTTTCCATTGAAACGGGGTTGTTTGCCGGGTTTGGACGTGGGGGCTGAGGAGGTGGTATATTCGGGTTCATCGGGATCGGGCTGGGGCCAGGGCCAGGGCCTGCCATAGGCTGGCTAGGCGGTATGTGGCTAGGCCCAGGACCAAATCCGAAGACCGGGTTTTGTACAGGAGCTGGAATTGGCCCCTTTGATGGATGTCCATTCATAGCGTCTAGGAGTGCTTGGGGCGGTGCAATACCGGAATAGACCTGAACAGCCATCCGTAGGGGAAGGACAATCAAACCTTTCTATGGTAAATGTCAGTATATGTTAAATTGTGTGTTTCCCAGGAGATTAGTGGGTTAGTGGGGGAGAAAGTAGACAAATAAAATCATATATAACCTATGGTGAAATGGGATTGGATAAAATGTAGAGGAGTACCTTCAACCCAACTGGCCCATGGGCCAGTCCAATTCGTATCTCCAGCTCATACGTTCTTGACAAATTGCATGTCTCAAAAGACGGAAGAACGGAGCTAGGAAGAGGGATGCGATTCCACATTTCTGTATCTAGCTTCCACTCTTTACCTGCCCGGTCATTGCTATTTCCTAGCGGCAAGCCAATATTACTTCGAGTAGTAATAACCCAGCTTCCACTTTCGGAGCGAGTCAGATCCTGGGCACGGACATGGGTGTAGGATATCAGTTCTATTTGAAGAAGCTGGAGGGTAACAATCTCGCTGCTGTTATTGAGCTTCTTTATCAAGATGCGCAGTGGTAGTGGTTCGTTGCATGTTATTATCGGCGGGCTAGGTAGGCGTGCATCGACAGAGAAACGAGGCAACAGTTCGTTTTCAGTACTCCCTTTGAAGAGTCCTTTTTTCTCCTGCGGAGATTGTGGGGACTGCGGCGACTGCGGTGTTATTTTAGACTTAAACTGATGTTCTCGTCTGGCATATGATTCTTTATCAATCTCCTTCTTCCGTGGCGGTTCGATAGGAAGGAACTTGAAATCCGCAAACTGAATAAAACATCAGTATTGTAAAAATTTTCCCAAAAGTGGTGTAGTTAATCAGATGTCAGGGTGAGAAAGGCGCACTCCTCTGTAGTTCTCCTTGTAAAACTGCGGCCTGACGACGGTTGCCTTGACGTAATATTTGATCTCAGCTTCACCGGGAAACCCGGTCAATGAAGGAGGAAGAGTCCTTCGGATGTGCTGGTTAGTATCCCGAGCTACCTCTACCCTTATGCCAGCCATGTTCAAATTGGTAGGTAGCGGGTTATCGATGCAGTCGTTGTTAAATGGGAACTACACAGCCATCAGATCAGCCAGCCAGCCCTCACAGCAGCATTATATATCAAAGCCAGATACCGTACACACCCTAAACTGAAAAGGATATTCATACACCCCCGGTAAGAGGGTATAGAATGTATTAGGCGACACACTATCCTGGGTATCGGGCCCAGGAAAGACAGTAACGACCTTATACAGCACCTATATCAAATAAGAAAATGGCCCAGCGTTAGCATCAACTCCCCTATCTGAGATATTTAAACTCATTTCTCTCCCGAATAACTGTTTGTTCTGACCTTGTGCAATTCAATTTCGGTTCGCTTCTTGTCCGATCGTTCGTTATGCGGATACTTCGCTGCGGCCAAACGAGTCCGACTCTCGCCTTCTAGCTTGACATTGATGGAAGATATGGCTGTTTCCGTCGAGAGGGACAAAACAGCCTTGCCAGAGATGTAGTCGAGGTTTGTAAAGAACGGATGCGGCCGGTTAAGGAAGACCTGGACCGACATGATGGCAACGGGCGGCAAGGGCGAGGGAAAGACGATGGACGGCTTGCGTGTCGAGGGAGATGCGAAAGGTGGAAGAGTGTCGAAATCGCTTGGTTTAACACATCCTTCGCTCTAGTCTTAGCGACGTTTCTCGTTGGTAGATCTATTTATCAGCTCTGCCTTAAGCTTCGCAGCGGACTAGCGTCTATAGCTATATCGTGTACTCCGTAGAGGAAGATCAGTATACGGTAGATGAGGGATTGGCTTTGCGGGCAGGGAAGCAATTCCTCTTCTTTTTCCAGCCGCAGTGCAGTAGTTAGTTAGTAGAATAATGGAGATCGATGGTTAATCAGTTATCCGTTATCTGAACTAACTATTTATACCTCAAGAGAATGACGTAAATCGATAATTAGTGAGCTATCCCCGCCATGGTCCCTGGTAGCCACTGAACTCAACATCTACGGAGTACAGAGAACGAAACATGAGAGGGACGGAGGTGCATAATCTTCAGCTGATGCGCGCGCTGAACGTCAATCAATCGGGAGAGGCCAAGCGATATCAGCCGTGATCTCTGGCAGGGCGAAGTAACCAGTCAGTTTCTAGACCCGGCAGGCAGGCAAGGATGGGGTCGATTCAGACATGTATACTTGTGCGATACGCTGCATATGGGGGAAGCGCCAGAGATGAAGAAGCAATAATATCACCTTTATCACAACCCTGACTTCTTCCCGCGCATGAAAGAGAGAGGCTCAGCCATCCGCGCGTTCATTTTCATCGTAGGCCCCCAGCGAGGCGCAGTTGGTCGACGAAGACTGAGCCAGAACAGCAAGTCATGGTGAATCTTGCATTTTGCGGCTCGACTAGAGGCAACAGCTAGTTTTAACAAGCATTTAGATATACCTATATAAACCTGCATTCTATAACACGTCAAGAAGGATCTCAATTTGATGCCAGCCTGAGGAGGTCGTGGATTTAAAGATGATCATGTGGGGCGTGCTATTAGGTAGGTTCTATTATTACTTGGGGGGGTCATATTGACGATACTGCAACGGACGACGACGGGAGTGATAATAGTAATATCCTTACTGACGAGGACTCTACGACAGAAGATGGAAACTGGAATGGGAGGCATTAGGTATAATAGTATTGGTATGGGGTATGGTAAGTTATAGTACTGGCGCGTTAAAAAAGGAAAAATATCAAAGATCTGTACTCCAAAAGTCATCCCGCTATCAATTAAAGAGTTACAACATGGCCCAAAACTAGGTTATTGACATGATACAGCGACACAACTGCAGAGATGGAAGAGAGAGAAGGGATAGCATGTCTGCCTCGCGCTTAAAGGGCGAAAGCTGCAAGGAGGAGACCGACGGCACCAGCAGCAGAGCCGAGCTGGACCTTGGCGTTGCTGACAGCGGCACCGGTATGGGTTGGGGTAGAGCCGGAGCCAGAGTGGGTAGCAGATGGGGAGGAGCCAGAAGAGCCAGAGCCGGAGGTCGCAGATCCGGAGCCAGAGGTGGTCTCAGAGCCGGAGGTGTTGGATGGGCTGGAGCCGGTGGTGGTAGCGGTGCTCTCACCGCTAGAGGAGCCAGTTGGAGCAGCAGTGGGAGTGGCACCGGGAGTGTAGAAGTGAGACTGGATGCAGCCCTGCTGGCAGCGGGCGTAGGCGGCAGGGCCCTGGTCGGTAGGACATTTGGCAGCACAAATAGTGGTGTCCTTAGCGTCCTGGTTGGATGGGCAAGGGACCTTGAAGCAGATGGCCTTGCAGCAGATGTCCTTCTCAGGGCCTAAGTCGCGTTAGCTCTGCCAGTTGTTTGACTTATCGTTCGTTGATCACAACAGAGACCTGTTAATACATACACTGAGAAGCACACTGTTGCTCTGGGGTCAAGCTGGTGTTGGCGGCAGCAGCGAAGGCAGCGAAAGCGGCGACGGCGGCAACGGAGAACTTCATCTTGACTGGATTCTTTTTGGTTGAAGAAACGAGGGCTGGAGCTGTCTCGAAGGAATGGGATGTAGATTAAAGTAGAGTAAGTGAGAAAAGGATAGCGAAAGACGACGAAGAAGCGAACGTAGACGAGTTTGTTTGACAAAAGAAGAGGAGGAGGAAGAAAGAGAAAGAGAGAGAGA